GAGTTAACTTTAACCAGTCTTTAACCCACGACAGGGGTGATAGGCTGTGCCTGCAAATCGGGGAGGATTTTGCATACCCCAGCACAGAGCTGCTGTCCTGGTGCTGTGCCTGCAGTCACTTGGCCACCGCTGGGTGCACTGGGCTGGGGAGGGACAGCTGGGGATGTGTAAGCATCTGAAGGTGGCTGCACACAACAGAGGAACACCCAGAAGTGGTGCTGATGGCAGAGTCTGTGTGGTAGCTCTGGGAATAAGCTGTTGGTATCAGGATCATCCGCTGGGGAATGGTGGGAGGGTAGTCGTAGGGCTTTAACAGCATTGCTTCTGCCTTGGCCAGTTTGCGGTGCTTGTGAAAACCGTAGTGTCGCTGTCTTCTTGGTCCCAAAAACTTTAGAAACTGAAAATGGTCAGGGACTGCCTAGGATCTGACACAGCTCGTGGCAGCGCGAGGCCCCTGCTCCACGGTCAGGGCTGGCGTTGCCTGTGCTCGGAGAGGCATTGCTGGCTTTGTTCTGGGGACAGAGCAGGGAAGGGAGCAGGAGGAACAAGCCTGATGGTTATCACATGTAAAGCTGCTAGCTGGTTGCCTTAATGTACCGCGTGCTTGAAAGCTCCATGTTTGTGACTCTCTTCTGTTTAATTGTCTGTTTAGGCAAGGAGCAGCATTAAAAAAAAATGTGCAGGGGGTAGGAGAGCAGGAGGGTTAGCATCCGGCTTTCCTTCAGAATGCCACAGTTTGCATCCGTGAAATAGTTTTGTTTTACGCTATCTTCATTCACCAGTGGATTCAGTCTTTTCCCCAAAGCAGACGGTGTAAAGGCAGACGAGGGCATTAGTGGGACGAGAAGATGAAGAGAGGAGAGGAGAGTGGGAAGAAAACAGTCCCCTATGGAATTAAACACAGAATGGGTAGGGCAGGGCTGGATGGGAGGGGGGCAGGGGAGGGTGACACTTGGCTTCTGAAGTTGGGTTTACAGCACACTTAAGCACCAACAGTAGCAATGAGAATGCCATCCAATAATGCTATTACATACACAAGGACTGAAAGCACGGAAATTACCCAGCTGTAAGAGGCTCATGATGAAGCCACTGTCTGGAATAATTAGCCCTCCCACCTGGTTAGACGCGCGGTCATTGTCTTCCCTGCCCTCTCCATCCCCTTCACTCCAAATAAAATTGCTCCCCATCCCCACTTATGGGGGTCCGTATCTCATAGCCTTGGGGAGCTTGAGCCTGGCTTTATTCCTTGCCTGCTTGCCGTGGCCCTGATCTACCCCAGAAGAGCTGGAGTGCTACTCCAGTTGTAATTGACAGGATCAGAGCCGCCTGGGGTGCATTAGCACTGCTGCTGGAGGATAGGCAGCGGGTAGAAAATAAACAGTTTCGGAAGCTCTGGGGACACTGGGCTGTGTTGCAGGCAGTGGGAAGATTTTGCTGCTGTAAGCTGTGCACTCAGGCTAGGGTGGGGGCACTTTCCTTCTACAAGTGATGCTGTAGCTGCAGACGCATACAACAAACGCGTTTTTAAGGGCTTTTGTCTGTTTGTCTCCTGGAATTGTTTTGGTGCTAACACACGGCTGTTTTACAAGCACGGCAAACCTAATCCATTAATAGGTTTCTATAGAAGAGTTAGCAGAACATATCTATAATGAACCGTGGGCTGAGGAGGATGAGTCTAACAGCTGATCTGCAACAGAAATCTTGAAGCATCTTCTCCTTGACATTCCTGTTACTGAGGTCAGGCTGTAATTTATCTGAAGATGGTGACAACTGAGCAATATCCCAGTGCTAACATGCAGGAGATTGAGACCTCTGAATGTCTGGGCTGATTTCTGCTTGCACTGTCTCTGTCTGGCTGATGAAGATTTGCTGTTCACTCTACCCGTGATCCCTGTGTCCTCCATTAAAAAAAAAAAAAAAAAAAATCGAGTGCTGAAAAGTTCTCTCCATTCTTTGACGCTAACTGCAGAGAAAGAACAGGTTTGGGAGATAAGCAAAACAGCCCACGAGTCCCCGTGCTCTGTCAGCCAGGGTTACTGCTGCCCGCCAGGATGCTCCTTCTGGGTGTGCGGGGAAGGGAGCCAAGCCTGCGTGAATGTATCCTGGGAGAAAACACATCCTGACGTGGTGTGCTGGGGTCCTCCAAGCGGTGCATTCTTTCCCCTTTCTGTGGCATCTCTTTATGAAAGTAGAAGGCGATACTCCCGTAGCAGGTAAATCTAAATTAATCCGGGCAAAGTTCCGTTTAGGTTTTTTGGTAGAAGCGTGCTAAGCATTTTACTTGCAAGAGCTCACCCTGTGACTGATGTGTAGCCGCGTACAAAGGGAGAGTCTGCATAGGCCCAGGCAAACACTTGTTCTATATCAGAGCGTTCTGCAGGGAGGCTTGTTGGTTGCCACAAAAGAACTGCTTTTAATGAGCAGATGCTGCAACAGTGTGCAGTTAACCCTTCCCACGGTCTGCTGCAACCGTGTGTCCTTGGAGAACGTAAGATCATTGGAACAGAGATCATTGTATCTGCGTCTGCGTAGATACAGGAAAGTTGTCAGCTATGAAAGCCTTTGGATACACATCATCAGATCTACGGTCAGGATTTGTGTCTGCAAATACCCTGGAAAGCAACTACTCATCCCTGTAAATCTGACCTTCATGCTGTGTATCATTTTGTGCACCTCTCCAGCCCAATCTTTTCTTCGCTCTCTCTGTTTCTAAGGTTCTCTGGGCCTGCAGTTCTGCTTTTCTGATGAGAATCCTCTCGTTAAACTTGCCAGGTCGTTGTTTAAGGTTCCCTCATAGATCAGATCTTGCTACATTTTATTTTGCTTACGATCTAATTTCTGATAGCTCCTACATGGTGAGCACAGCGGCATAGAAACCAGCAGTAGTCACAGCCCTGCAGGAGTTCGGTTTTCCTTCTTGCCTTCCCTCCTTTCCCTATAACGTGTACATTATGTACAAGAAAAAAGTCAGAGGTCAAGTTGAGGCAGGATGTACATGTGTACATTTTCCTTGTGTTGCTCCGTATTACTCAGCTGAAGCTGGCCTCTGCTGCAGAACTTAACACGGGAGAGAAATGAGTTGGTCAGGAAGAAAGGTTGTTGCCATATGTGTGTATCATCAGACACCTCTGCACACAGTTCTTCCCTCTTCTGTATGTTAATCCTTTAGGCTCTGCAGCCTGAGTGTTTGTCGATGAAACATTAGCTCACTACACTCCCCGTGTGCAGCCAGGCAGATGTTTAGAAGGCAGTCCTGCCTCCTTTCCTCCCTTTGTGGGAAAGAAGTGTTCTTTCCCAGCGTGGTGGTGGTTGACATTAACAGCTATAAATCACTTTGAAGATAAAACCACATCTCTAACTGATTAGAGGAAAACGGTTAATGGGACATGCAGTAGCTGTGGCGGAAATTCAGATTCAGGATGAGAAACGAAGCACTGCAAAGCTGAGTCTTCACTAGAAGCAAGGCTCAGTGGGGAAGTGTCACCCGTGTTTCTTGTTCTGCAGGTTGTAAAGCCGTGGAGGCATTGCTGAAAGTATTAGTGGACCTTCAGGATGAGCTGCTCTATCAATACCCAGGCACAAGGCATCTGGTAGATGGAAAACAAGCGAAAACTGAGAGGTAAATAGAAAATAAGACAAGACCTTTCTGAATCCTTTGGTCTCCAGCTCTCCAACAAACCAGCCATGCGCAGTCTTCCTGACTGTACCCACTCTGCTCTTCTCTGAGCTGCTGCCCTGTCTGGGTGACAGACGCTCTGGACAAATCACAGAATCATTAACGTTGGAAAAGACCTCAAGGATCATCAAGTCCAACCCAACACCACCTAACTCACTAAACCATGTCCCCAAGCACCACATCGACACGTTTCTTGACCCCCTCCAGGGATGGTGACTCAACCGCCTCCCTGGGCAGCCTGTTCCAATGTCTGACCACTCTTTCAGTGAAGAAATTTTTCCTAATATCCAGCCTAAACCTTCCCTGGTTTAAAAAAAAAATGACCACTTGCATTCCTTCTGGCAGTGTGGGCAGTCTGTTTTGTAATCGTTCTGATAACGGAGGAGAAGCTCAACCATGGGTCTTTTGCCATAAATATCACCGTGGTGTGGCAGAAGCATGGGGTGGCGGTGGAGGGGCCGTTAAGGATTCCCACGTGTTGCCTTAGAGAGGTGTAGGGTGTTCATTCTGCGTGGTTTTGTTCTAGTGATGACGAAATCCCTAGCAGTAGCGATGAAGAGCAAGTGGATAAGGCTCAGGAGAAGAGGAGGAGCCTCCCCAAACGGAAGCTAAAGATGGAGGACTACCCAGAGTTCATAGCCAAGCGGTACGCTGACTTCAGGACGTATCGGAACAGCATCTTGCAGAAGTGGCATGAGAAGACAAAGCTGGCATCTGGCAAAATGGGAAAGGCAAGTCTTTGTTTGTGTGTGCTGACATGCTTATAGTTTAGCAAAGATTTGTGGAACAAGTTGATTTGAAAGTTTCATATCATGAATGTTCCAAGCTAAGTTGAGAGCTCCAGCAGTAAGAATTAAATACGCAGGTACACACTTCTCCCCAACCTTAAAGGAATTTGGAAAGAAGTTCAGCCCTCAAATTTCAAAGGCATAAGCTGCTCTCTTTTGTTTTGAGCAGATGGGCAGGAAATACCATTTTCAGGTGCAAATGGTTTCCCAGGTTTTGGGAAAAACTCTTGGATAGTATTGATGTTCTCCGAACCAGACATCTCATCAGTCTCCAGCAGCAAGTAAGCTCTATGAAAATGCCACTGTTGCTGATGAACAAGCTGTTTGTGTTTTATAATAGAACTAGGGGCTTTTGTGGCTCTCCTCCTCCGTGAAGTGTACACTTTAATACAGTGGGTAATCATTTCACCCGAAGATCCTGGGTCTCCTAACATCTGTGAGTTAGTATTAATCATTCAGAAGTTCATCTGAACCAGAACAGCAAAGGCATTTTATTAAGCCAGGCGTCAAGTTGCCTCAGGTTGGGAAGGGAGACAGAGGGAGAAACAAATAAAAAAATTCTAGCAGAAACCTCTGCAATGAAACCCAAACCCCCTCCTTTTGGAATGCTGTCTGCTTATCCACTGACATGGAAAGATAGAGGAACATTGCTGCCTTGAGGAAAAGCTTTCCGCATTATCTGACACTAGTTAATGTTGTTGCAGGGTTTCGGTGCCTTTGAGCGTTCAATCTTGACTCAGATTGATCATATTATGATGGACAAAGAGAGATTACTACGGCGGACACAGACCAAGCGATCAGTGTATACAATACTGGGAAAGCAGGAACAGGAATCTCAGCCGGTCCCTGAATCTTTGCCTGAAAATTCGGTAAGGGTATTTTGTTTGTATAACTCATCCCGTAGCAGCATTGCAACTCTCTGCAAAACAATTAGCTTGAGCCTTTAGCAGGTGGTATTCTTGTTTGTGAGACATTTATGAAGGAGGTGTCCGAGTGTCGATTCCTGTAATGTAAAGGCTAACAAAAAGATGTAGACACTTCAATTCCAGCTTTATGGTGTTTGCATTATCTCCTGTGCCAGTTCTTGACAGGGGAAAACGAGGCTGGTCTGTGGTTGTGCCCCTCCTGTGCTGTAAGAACTGATGCTCACTAGATCTGCTTTTTGAGGTAGCGGCCACAGAACTTTGTTTTTACTCTGGAGTTTAGAATCTTTAACCCAGAAGGTCACTTCTAAAATCATACTGCATATAACCCACAGAATATTTTAGTAGTGAGTCTGTTATTAATTTTGTATTTAAGAATGAATAAATACTCAATTCTGAGAGATCATGTGGAATTACTGCACTTGCAAGATATATTTTCTCCATTACATTAAAAATATCTGTAGTATTTTGCCAGAAAGACTTTACACAGCCCTATTTATTTCCCAGTAAAGGTATCATAAATCTATTTTGTCATTGGCAGCATTTCTGCCTTGCCTTTAAATGTATTCCTAGTCCTTAAAAGCTTGTTCTGTTGGGAGCTTTTCTCCATTCCTTCGTATCTTCAAGTGTGTTTACAAGCTGCTGCATGTGGCATCATCAGATTTAGGGACAGGAACACTCACATACGAGCTTTCGGTATTTCCTTTGTGCTTCCAGGAGGACCTCCCTCAGTCAGACTTCAACAGGCACCTGAAGGACATCGATGAGGAGATATTTGACGATGATGACTTCTATCACCAGGTGGGTGATGGTCAGTCTGGGTTGGGCTTAGGGCTCCAGTTGATTTTAATACTTACAGAGCTAATGGGGTTGGTTCTGTGCTTTAAATTTCTCTTACCAGTGAAACCAGTTACCTGTTTTAACATCCAAAATCTCTGTAGATACCCGAGGGGACTTTGCTCTCAACTTTTGGTCCAGGGCTATGTGAGCTGAAGCTGGCGTTGTGGATGTACGCTCAGCTGCCGTCACTGGCACTGCTGTACTGGAGTGGGTCCGGGCTGCAGGAGAGGGTCTGTGCCCTGTGTCCCCTGTCCTCGCTGGGGAACACTGCTGCACAAGAGAAAAATGACTGAGTTCTCTGAAGGTGACTGTTCTCTGTGGGTAGAGTCCCGTTATAAAAAACAATTCTAGGAGATCCTCAAAAGCACCCAAGTTACTCTCATCTCAGCCTAAATCATCTCATCTACCTACTGAATGGAAAGCTGCAGGGCTTCTCTAGCACATGTCCTGGAGTTGTGCCAGTTGGATTTTGGCCAGTTATGCTTTTTATTTGCAAAATTCTGAGAAACAAGGAATCTGCACCCAGCGCATGGAGGCTGCAGCTTAGGGAAACCTTGTGTTTGTAATTTATTTTAAAAATGACAGTGCCAGCTTTATGAAATACTGAGGTTGCCATAGATTGAGGAATATGATTCGCTGTCGTTCTTCCTCAATGCACAAAAAACTAGTTGTGCTCTGATGATCCACAGGGGGCTCTTAACTTCGGGACTAAACAGATGTCATTATATCATTAGAAAGGCAGAAATTTCTGATCTGAGTAGTTATTAACCAGAAGCATTTTAATACTTTCAAAATTTGGGGTTTCACATACAGAGGCTAAAGATGAATAAAAAGATGCATTAAATTGGTAATTCTTGTCTGTCTTATGGATAGGAACTACAGAGAACTCTAATGCTGCCTTTTTTTTTTCCACCCTCCAAGAAGGTTTTCAACACACTTCCAACCCTACTGCTGCAGAAATCCAGGAAAACTCTGCAGTAGACCTCACCTAGTGCAGAATTTGGACCATCATAAAAACACTTTGAACTTTGATGTTTGTAAGGGATCCACTCAAGGCAGCCTGCTCCAGAGCCAGGAGCGTATTCCCAGCTGGCTCCTCGCCAGGCCGTGTGTTTAGTGGAAGAGCATCTCTGCTAGGATTGCTGTGAATTGAGCAGCATCTCTTGGGCAGGTGAAGATGCCAGATTCATCTCCGTAGGCTCTAAGATGGGAATTGGACAATGCCTGTCTTGTCAGCAGCAGTGGTTGAAGAGGCCAAATGTGTGAGGCAGTGAGATAACACTGAGGTGGAATTTGGGGTCCAAATGGACCCTGAGAACACAGAACAAATTAAGTCAGTATAACAAAAGAGTGAAGTGGTTGAGGAGAAATAGCTGTGATTGACAGTCCGTGGACATGGGCAGAGAAAGTGCTCGTTGGCCATGAGATGTTCAATTTTTAAAAGGAAACCAGCAATAGACGAATGGCTCGTCTTTCCTTCTAATAACTTTAACTTCGAAGTCGTGATTTCAGAAATATGACTAGTCACAGCTTAGCTTTTCCCCTCACTGGTTAATTGGGGTGCTGGGGTTAATCTAAATTAAAACTTAAACTAATAGAGGTCATTGAGGGAAGAGAATCACCTGAGTAAAACAAATGGGTCTGCCAGGCACAACTGTATCTTGGCCGGTTCCCAAGAGGGAAGTGGCAGCAAATTGGAGTTGTTTCAGCATTCGGCAGAGGTGAAGGATGGGTGACACCAGTTTAATGTACGGCACCTCCGGAAGCGCTCCAGATTGCATTCCCTGCTGTACCAACTGCTGCCTCCCGCGCCCCATGACTAGGAGCAGGCCCAGCCAGCAACATCTGGCAGCTCAGCAAGGAATGGGTGCCACTCTCGAAACCCCATAGACTCTAAATATGGTGCTTAGCCTGGTGGAGGCTTTAATCACTTACCACTCTTTGGCAGCGGGCTACAACAGCTTATCCTAGCCTCGTACATCATGCGCAGACATCTGCTGAGCCGCGAGGCAGCTACACATTCATTTTCCTTTCTTGCTTGTTTTTTTTTATCCCTCCCTCCTTCTCTCCCTCCCTCCCTTCCACCCTTCTCCTCTCCTCCCGTCCCCAATATGCTTCTTGGGAGAGATGAGCTGTAAAGATTGCTGCTTCATTGTGTGCAAGTAACTGTGGGGATGCCGGCCCCTTGGCAGACACGCGCGGCACCTGTTCCGCTGACCTGGGCGATGTCTTCTGTCGAGCGGGGTTTGGCAGGGATCGGAGCTGAAGCCAGTGCAGTGATAAGGCTGAAGAAAACGGCTCTACATTTTCTGTCACCTCCCAATTAAATGGGTTTCATAAAGTGCTTTCCTTTATTTGTCAGGGAGGTAAGCTGGAGCTGAACGTTGCATTCAGGAAGGGCAGAGTGCATCACAATGGAGTGCTGACAGCGCCGCCGGTGTTTTCTTTCCGGTGGGTCATAACTGGGCAGCGCTTTTGCGTGTGATTGTGTGTGTGGCTGTATGTACATATATACAGAAAATGTAGAAAGGGAACCAGTTCTTCAGGAGCAATCGGCAGCCGCGTCTCTGGTTGTTGGAGCTGAGGTTGCTCAGAAGCTCTGACCTCTGGGCGTAACACTTACCACAAAGTGTACGGCTGCGTTTCAGTGGGTGCTCTTTGCTTTGTGTTTAAATTTAGATCCAGACTTTTTTTAGTATCACTTTCATTCTTCTAAATAACATTTTGTAATGATTCGTGTAGTTGGATTATTGCTTATGGTTTATTAAAGGTAAGCATTCAGATAAAGAAGGAGGTTGGAAACCGACTTCTGCGGGTTTCAGTGTGAAATTGAGCAAGTGAAAATGAACGAGGTCTGATGAATGTGCACAAGTTAATGATAACGGAATAAGCAGCTATACTGTTTTGTTATAGATTAGAATACAAAACTCTTTAATGAACGTTTTTTTCCTGTGGAAAACCAATTTTCTCTCCTAGGTCTTGGTATTTAATGGAATTCACCATGTGGGGCTGGTGGGATTTTACAGGGATTCAGGACTTAACCCTGTTCTGCCTGTTCAGCCCACTTTGCCTTTTCTCATGTTCTTCACTTGTTATATGAGCAGTTATAATTTTTATATTGTGGTGGCCCATGCTGAAGGGTAGTGCAAAGCTGAGCTGAATAAGGCAAGTGGAATATTTTTGTTTGGGTTGCACTGGGTAGGAACAGTTAACCTGCTTCGGAAGGATCCCCATGACTGGCAGCGGTGAGAGGCTGGACCCCATTTCCTTTACTTTTAAACTCTCCTCCATACATGGTTTTAAGGGAAGAAAAAGGCTTTGTATTTTTAGAAGTCATATTTACATAGAATTCATTACAGCTGATATTGCAGCATTAGGACTTAAAATTCCAGCCTGCAACCAGAGAGCTGCTGGTCTGACATGCTACAGTGGAGATTTTATTATTAGGTTGAAATACTCCTCTAGTAAAGGAGAGAGTGGAAATTGGTTTATTTCCAACAGGAATTAGGTTAGTGTTCATATGCTAAGCGTTCCACTGGTAGCAGCTCTTCCCAGAACAAATGTTCATCACTGATGGCAGCAGGGATGCCTAAGGAGGATGAGCAATATACATAATCCCTCTTTTCTCTGCTCTCCTACTCCCTCCTCCCCCTGATTTTGGTTGGGTTGGATCTCACCACATTTTCTAGCGACCTGCAATCATCACTTTTGTCTGTGATCACCACACCTTCAGAAGCTGAGCAGAGCCAGAGTGGTTGGGGAAGGCTCAGTGACCGCTCGAGCCTTCCAGCAGAGACGGCAGCGGTGTGCGGGGCAGGACTGCACGGGCTGGAGGGGCCGTCAGCCCCCGGCTGCTGTGTTCGGCTGGATGGAGCTGGTGCTGCCGGGGATTGAATTGGGGGGAAGATGCTTGCTCCCTTCCTTATCTATGCCCTAATTACTTAGGAGAGTAGCTGATCCTGTAGAAAACATCGTTTAATTGTAGAACTTGCAGCTTGCTTTATTGCTGTGATGTAGGCACTGCGTGCCTGGCCGCTCTGGCACACTCCGGGGGAAAGCTGGGCTTTTTGCAGGCCAGCGAGGGATCTCCCTAGCTTCATTTTTTCCTAGCTGGGCGTTCAGAATGCCTGCGTTCATCTGAGTAACCACAACACGAACTTCCTCGTCTCAATCTCTTGTTGAGATACTTGCAGCTCACTTTGGTTCTCCTCTGGGTTGTACTTGTGTCTGAATCACATTGTGTGGCTTTTTAGAAAACTTTCCCTGATGGGGTGGATTTCTCCTCCTGTCCCGAGCCAGCCTGAAGCAGTTCTGGGCACACAATGTACAGAGTCTTCTCTCCCAGGTATTTGATAATGCCATAAACAAGTAATTACTAATCCAGTGAACTATTAAAAGTCGATAATGGTGAAGAATAGAGAGAAGACTGGCTTTCTGACAGGCTGGTTTACCTTAATTAAACTGGTGAGTGATTAATATGGACAGCTGATCTTGTGGCTTTAATTAGGTGCATTTAGAGTTTTGTGTGAATAAGAGATGTCTCGAACCATCCCACAGGTTAATGGCAATACAATACTCTTATCACAGGCATGTATCTTTCAAATGGCTGGGTAGATGGTTAATAACACGTTTTAAAGCTTGATTTGAAACTTCTCTTAATGGGTTATTAGAAAATACGCAAGTCACTGCCTATTTTATACAAAACTGAATTTTAATAAAATGTTTTTCAAAAAGAGAATGTCCACTGATTTCATCTTGCAGTTTAGGTTTTTACATTATAAGTAGATTGCCGGAAATTAAATATTTAAAAAGTGTTTCAAGGGGATTTAAAAATAATATTTGAGCTGCAGTCTAAATTTTCTCTGGTGTTGCTAGAAATCCAAAAGGTGTTACGCTACTACTGTGTGGGAGCTTGGAAGGGGCAAAAAAACAGCTCGTTTCTGCACCTGGGCAGAATGCAG